ATATATATATATATATATGTGTGTATATTTATATGTATATATATAGTTATGTATATATGCATGATTGTATGTTTTTAAATATATACATATATATGTATATACATGTGTATATATTATATTCATATACTATATATATCAATAAAATATATTTCTATGGATATATGCATATGTGTATATTCATCGAAGTATATATGTATGCGTGCATGTTTGTATTCATATATGCTTGATGTCCTCTGTTTGCTTCTTAAGATGTGGTGTTTCTGGGTGGGCTTGTATGATCGGGGCTGCGTTCCTTAGGGTTTAGGGTTTAGGGTTTAGGGTTTGTGCGCAGTGCTCCCTTACTACTTTGATGAGATTGCGCCGGCGCTCTTGGCAGGAAAGAAGGTGTTGGTGGTTGGTGAGGCGAACTTCCTGTTGTTGAATGCTTAAAGAGAAAGCCTTTTAAACCTTTCTATGGGTCTTATGTTTTTAATAATGCGTGCAAAGTCTTATTATTAGTATTGTTATTATTTTTAAAAAGAAACATGCATGCAACAGCATGCCCCGCGGCTTCTCGGCTGCATGCATACACTGCTTAGAGGAGTTCTCAGTGAATGCACGAGTTAAGATGTAGAATAAAGATTTAAAATTTTGAAATAATATGTCAAACAAATTCTTGAAATGCACTGGGAATGGCTATGCGAACGAAAAAGCCGAAGGAGCCTTTCCTGCTGTCTTAGCGTTGATGCATGCGCGCATGTGCCTCGATCTGTAGTGTACGTACACCTCATATGCGTGTGTTGCGGGGTGCTGTGCATGCATGCAGCTCACGGCAACAGCCTGAGGGGTTTGGTGAAGCACCTCGACAAGATGTCTGAGGAAGATGTTCTGGAGTTGAATATCCCCACCGCTGTGCCTCTTGTGTATGAGTTGGATGAGAATCTGAAGCCCATTAAGAAGTACTATCTCCTTGATGAGGCTGAAGTTCAGGTGCGTAATCAACAAGTTTGCTGCTTTGTGTTTGTTTGCTGCTGCTCCTGTTTGCTGCCTCTGGAGGTGTTGCTGTTGTTTGCTGCTGCCGCAGCCGCAAGCAATCATAAGGCTGGGAGGGGGCGGCAAACGGGTTTAGGGTTTAGGGTTTAGGGTTTGGGGTTTGGGTGTGCAGAAGCGGATTGCGGCTGTGGCGAACCAGGGGAAGGCTAAGTAAATGTGAAGCCCTCACTTTGCATTCAACAAGAAAACACTGCAGCAGAAACAAACCTGAAACAACAAAGACAATTTTTCTTTCCTAACACTGTCGTGGCTCAGGGTTTAGGGTGTACGATTTAGTTTAGGTTTAGGGTTTAGACGCACTCGCCACGGGAGTTGCGCTGGCTAGAGAAGCAGCAGTTTCCTTAGGGCATAGAGAGTTATGATGTATGTTGCAGTTAGGGTTTAGGGTTTAGTTTAGGGTTTAGGGTTTAGAACACCGTTTCAGGCGCACGCGCAACTGCTCGGCAATGCATCTGCTGCTGCCTATTTAGGCCTAGAGGCCCCCAAACCCTAAACCCCAAACAAAATATGCTAAACCACTTCATCGCTACAAACCCTCAACAGATAACCCTAAAAACATCTGCTGCTGTGTAGTCTTTCGCTGATCCTGTAGGGGAGGCGAGGCGGTAAACCAGCCGCAAGACGGCGCCGCAGCAACAGCAGCAGCTGCTGCTGCACCAGTAGCAGCAACACCGACTGGAAAAAGTGCTCACAGCAAAAGAGAGAAGTTGAAATCGCTCTTCAAGAGAGGGGACTAAAGGCAAGATACAGCTGCAGCAGCAGCAAGGAAAAGCAGATACCGCAGCAGCAGCAGCAAGGAAAAGCAGCTACCGCAGCAGCAGCAGCAGCAACTGCAGGAGCGAGACAAATAGCCGCAGTAGCAGAGACATAACGCATCCGTCTCCTTTGCTTTCCCCGCATTTCGCCCCCTACTTGCTGCAGGACTGAAGAGGCATTAGTATGCTAGAAGCAGCTGCAGCAGCAGCAGCAACAGCAACAGCCAGTTGCTGCTTGATGCCAATAAGCTAGAAGCGCTGCTGCCGCCGTACAGCAGTAGCCACAGGAGAAGCAGCAGCAGCAGCAGCTTCTGCTGCTGCTGCTGCGCTTTCCGGGCCTCTCTATTTCTTGATTGTCGATTTGTTTTGATGGTTTTATTTGAAGGGCTGCGGCTGCTGCAGCTTCTTTTAATGTTGTTTGCTTTACTACAGCCAGAAGAATACGAAGGTGTACGTACACATCAGAAGCAAGACAAATGCACTGTCTCCTGTTTGGCTGTCAATAAGAAGGCGCAACAAAAACAAAAACAAAAACAAATTGTCTCCTCGAGGCATAAAGAACTGTCTCCTTGCCTCTTGTGAACAGTTGGTGGCATCTAAATGCCCGATAATATATATATATATATATATATATATGTTTATATATATATACCCGTAGGAATATCTGTATACATAT